CTTCCCCCTTTTTCAGCCCCTTTTTCAGAGTTTAAACCATGGAAACCATTTTTCTTTTTCTTTTCTTTCTGGACCATCCATTCATCCTCTAGGATCAGTCTGTTAAGGGATTTAGGATGTGCCAATCCCCTTACATTCCAACATATAAAGTTCATCATCCAATAGATACAGATTTTCCCCTCCTTCTTGCTTTAGTCATGTCCTCTAGAGCTTCTTTATGAGATTTTTTATCTCTGAGAATGTAACTTCCCCCTTTTTCAGAGTTTAAACCATGGAAACCATTTTTCTTTTTCTTTTCTTTCTGGACCAGCCATTCATCCTCTAGGATTGTCTGAAACTCCTTAATTAAGGATGTGTCAATCTGTTGTTCTCTCAGGGCAACCTCAGCCCCTAAATCCTGAATAGTATCCCCCACCATAGTTTTCCAGTCAGTGTTTCGAGCATCATTGGTTTTCTGGTTGCAGCCAGAAGGATCAGCTTCTGAAATATCATTTGCTTTAGCATTAACATCCTGCTGGTCAAGCAGGTCATCATTCACATCTTGGGCAAGGATGATACCCTGAAGGCCATCATCCTCACTGCCCTTGGTTATCTCCTGATTCAAAGGATTATCAAAATCCTCTTTTCTCAACAGCCCTACATCAACAGGTAAATGATCAACCTCCTTAGAAGAGGTCCCCCCAGCCGTTCTTCTGAGATGGGGATGGCTTTTGTAGCATTTATTATCAGTGTGCCCAAACAAACTACAATGGAAATAGTAGTATGGCTTCTGTTCAGCAACAATCCTTTGTCAATAGCCATTCTCAGTCCCCAACCAGATTTCCTCCACAGTAGGAAGGGTGATATCCCTTTCTACTAAAATTCTGGCTACTGAAGGTCTAGAAAGGTTGTAAGTAGGGACATACAACTTCAAAGGTTTCCCCAGAGCTTGACCAATATTGAACAGAACTTTATGATTAAAGAAATGAAGCTTCAACCCAGGAAGTTTAAACCAAATAGGAACTACAGGCAGCTCCTTGCTCGGGTCAAACTCAGTGGACCATTTTAAGATCTTCATAGTAATACCGTCAATCTGTAAACTCTGTTTTGAGAAAACTCTAGCATAATCATCTTCTCTTAACAATTTAATAAGGATGTGCCTGCCATCAATGAGACCCACCCTCCAAGCACCTTTGAGTTTAATGCCAACAAAGAATTTTCTAATGGCTTCCATTTTTGGGTGTCCCATCTGAAACTTACCAATGAGAGAAAATTTATAAACCTCAGTCAGTTTTTGTATCTCTGAATCATTATAAAAGATAGCCACTTTCCCATTTTTCCTACTCAGAGGTTTAATAAAAGAGTCAGCCGCCTCATGATAGCTCTGGGGGAAAACAAGGTCATCAAAATCCTTAACTGTATTCACATGCTAAGTTCTAATATATATATTTGAAAAGTAATAGTTTTTACTTTTAAATTATGAGACCAAACCGATCTCACATAAACAATAGTTTAAATAAATGAGCACAACAATGTAAGTGATATATCTATCCCGAAGAATAGACTTATTACTTACTACTAAAGTTTGATTAAATGAACTAAAAAATTTATGACATTTGTTTTAGTCTGTGGAACCATTTATGTTGATTGACAAGTTCCACTATCTAATATAAAAAATTAGATAGGGTTTATTTTAAACTGGGTTCTTAAAATTTTCTACAAGGGCAAGCCCCTATAATTAATTATATCTTAAATGGCAGAGGTCACCTAAGAAAACTCTTGATTTATATCAGAAAATATTATTTTCAAGAATTTCAAAGGGTAGGACTGTTGACCTCACTTTTGGTTGAGGTCAAGAAATTTCTTTAGTAGCCTAGGTCGAGCCATAGGACTTTCCTACTGACTAGTCTTAGAAAACTAGAAAAGGTACCCTCACCATTAGAAACTCAAAACTCTTCTCTTTACTTAACTTGAAGTTCCACATATTGGTCCTAACCTCTAATATTTAGTAGGTAAGATCATTATGGGGGAAGCTCAAGAAGAGTTCCTATAGAGCTACGTGTTGGTTTGGAGCTAAGGTATACAATACCCTCACCATACCCTCACAATACCTTGGCTAAATAACCAAATCACATCAATTGGACTTATAACCATGCCAATTGGCCCAAAGAAATGTTGTATTTGCTTTATAGCAAAATTTTACATCAAATTTGACCAGAAATTTGCATTGGTAAAACCTTTTGATCATC